CCCTTTGTTGCAGCTGCAGGTTCTGACTGCTCTTTTCAAGTAGCCTCTGATTTCCGATTGTCAAGTGTTCTTGTGACACTTTGAGAAATTTGCGGACCCTCATTGCTTGCAGGTCCTTGGTATTTGGCAAAGGGAATGCCTCCAGGCTACAGAGACGTCCGACCAAATGCTCTTCAATGTTTCCAGTGCTGCGAAACATTAAGCATCACCATTTCTCTGCTCTCCATGCCTCGGGAAAAATGTTGGCAGCCTGCCAAATGAATAACAAATCCCAAATATTCTGCAGCCAGGTCGATACTGCTGCCGAAACAGTACCAGTAGCGCAGCAGGTACTTACTTGCCTGCAGAAAGAGAACCAGGGTTCGTGGATGAGTTTGATGGAGTCTTTCATTACCTGATCACATACTGGTTTTCCATGATCCTCATTCAGTGCTGGGGGTGGCAGGACAACTGGAAGTTGCATTCCTGAATTTTTGAGTGCTTGATTTGGCAGCGTACCTTGACTTGGCTCAGTAGCATACCTTATGTCATGATGCAAACTTTGCACAGACCTGCATGGTGTTATGCAAAATCCTTTTCTAGCCGAGTACCATAAACATTGAAAGGATGGAAGTGTTTGTGTAAAACAAACAAACGGAAAGCATCCCTGTCCTGGTCATTTGGACTGAAAAGCATGGTAGTCCTGTCGTCTTCTGCCAAGACTGCTGTAGTGCCTCTGCTACTCCTCAGTTATAGCAGGGAGGCAGGCACAAGGTCCTGGACTGAAACCTGTAGGCTCCTGGGAACTGGCAAGGAACTGGTCTTTTTCCTGTTTTTGCAGAGTCCCTTCTATTCTATATACTTCATTCTTCACTGAAGTATTTAAGTTACATTTTTTAGAATATTAAGTAACTTGCCTGTCATGTTGTTTGACCAGGAGATTCAGAGTGGTAATGACTTGCATGTATACCATCTAATGTGTATCGATGCGGTTTCCCACTGCGCACCCCTACAATCAACTTTACTGGCAAGATTTTGAGTTTTGTAGAGCATGGTTATGTGAAATACACAGTTGCTTTCTGGATGTGACTTCATACAGGGAAACACATTTAAGTTGTGAATGGGCAATTTGAATACTAAATGTCTTTGAATATTTTTACATTTCCCCCTGCATTTCAAAGCAAAACCACCTTTAACATTTTGAAAACCAACCAAAGCAGTAGTTTTCAGTTCCTCTTTTTAATGTTAAAAATTGACTTTGCTAATTAAAGCCTGTCCAGCATCCACATGCAATCTTTTAAGGTCAGAA